ATGCTTATTTTTTCTCATCCAACTTTCTAGACTGAAGAGCATCTCTTTCCTAGAGTTGAGCTGTTGCAGCACATCCTCCCTAGTTGGGAATCCCTTGAGTGAAGATGTGTTCGAGCTTGACTTTGAGCGCTGGGATACAAATCAAGAGTACATGTGACTTCCAAACACTCTCTTGTTTCTTCTTACCAGCTCATTGGGCTGCTTTCTCCTCTCTTTCCTTCCTTCATAATTTTCTAAGACTTTTTTTTTTCAAACCCTCTCATCTCTAACCCCTTTGGTATCCTGGAGCTCTCCAGTAATGCTACCCTCCCTACAGAATACGTAGTTTATGTTGGTTCCCTAAGACATTCTACTGAGCTTCTCAGACACATGCCTCTCTTTCTCTTCTTTGGGAGTATTAATAATCTAGAAAAAAACTAAAAACTGAATTTATACGGCTCTCATTTTATGTAAATTTACCAATTAAATTGTCACAATATTACAGAGTTGGCCTTGTTATTTCCATAAAGAAGATGGGAAATTTGAAATCAGAGTATGAAATAATTTTTCGAAGATTGTTTAGCTGGAAAAGGAGGCACCTGGGGAAATGGCCACACAAAGGTGTCTCCCAGGAGCTCCACTACACCTCTGCCGATGCTCCTTGCCCTTTGGCATACAGCCTGCACTTCATCAGGTACTGAAATAGTTGAACGAGCTGAGATTATCACTTGAGCAGGTAAGAACAGAAAGTACAAATTTCTTAACTTTGTAGAGTAAAATCTCCTCTACCCTGAACTCTTAGGACTTGCTTTATTTTTTTGTTAATTAAAAAGAAAACCTGCAAAATTGGTATCAGATAAATTTTAGATGTGTTTTACTCTTTTATGAGTTGTCAGCATTGTATATCAATACTTACACAAGAGCTTTAAGAAATGTGTACTTTGCAACAAGAAGTATATTTACGGGGTCTTGTTTTCACACATGGAAATCTTGCTGCTGATTTCATATTCATTTATAAGGCCTAGAACTAAAGGCCATACAACATACAGTACATTTAACCTAGTAAACATCTAATTCCTTCCCAGAAGTTGCAATCGTTAGCATAAGTACGTGCATTGCTGGTAAGTGTATACCATGATTTTGAATGAGAGGATAATTAAAACAAAATAAAATCAATAGAATACTTTACACACGCACACACACACAGGCACACATCATGACACTGTAAAATTCCCTTTGGTTCTGTGTGTGGAGCAATTGCACAATCATTTGTTTATTAAGCGTCGAGTTCCTTATCTTATTCTATAAAACTATATTTAAAAATAAAATTCATCAAAATGTTTGTCACTTTAAAATCATTAATAGACACCAACAGTTCAATAATTTAAAATGTATTTTCCATTTCTGGGCTTGACCTTCTTTGTTTCTGTTGGATTATACTGAAAATGCGAAAATAAGACCTTAAAGCTGCAGGTGAGGGATCCCAGGGCACACACAGCCTGGCTGGCACTGAGGGCCTCAGGCACAACCGGCTGAACATTGTCACACCTGAGCATCAGATCAATTGGTCTAGCTGTCTTTTAATGGGCCTGTTTTTAATAAATGAGATTTGAAGTCTTTTGAAACAGGGAGCATGCATTTTTCCTAAGAACTCAGGGCATGATTCCTTTCTCACTGCCTTACGGGCAGCCTCTCTGGGTTGCCCACAATCCTAGGGCAAATTCAACTGCTATAAAGTGGTCTGGGTATGAGGAAGAAGGCTTCATTCCTTGATTCTCTTGTGAAGTGCTAGAACTGGCTTTGTTTGGAGTTTGTATTAATTTTAATTTGTTTGGAACTAGCCAAAAGAAAGTGAGTTACTGAGCCTGTGTTGGCTCTGAAATCACACAGCACAAGTTGGTAAAGGTGGTCTAAATTGCTGAGTGGCATAGACAGCCAGTCCTTACTCCTGTGAAGTATTGTTCAAATCTTTGTCAGTTGATTGTACAATAGAGATTACTGATATCTACAGAAATCTATAGAAGTCACCCTGTATTCTAATTCATGTAATAATGTTTGTTTCCAAACCAAAAAAAAAAAAAAAAGCCTCCCTTAATACGCTGCAGAGCAAATGGGGGTGCCTAATACAGCAAGGACTCAAGCCAGTGAGTAAAATCAGAAAATATTTAGAAAATAAGTGCAATTTAGCTTTGGTGCTTCTCACTTCAATACTTTTCCTCTTATGCCAAGCACTTCAAACACATTTAAAAACATCAAGTTAATACTGACTTTTCTTTCAAGACCTCTCCCTCCCTCCCTCCCTCCCAATATCCCAACCGCCCCCCACCCAACATAATGTCAGGGATGTTATAGTATCCCTCTCCCTTTCCCTCCCTTCCCCTCCCCCACTCCCATTCACGTATGTTTTCCACTCTCACATTGTGAGAGCCACTCCTATGGACTAGTTCATTTTGCATGCTGCCCTTGGATTCCAAAATAAACAGTTGAACAGTTCTCAAGGAGCTTGTCTTTTGGGAAAGAACCCATCAAATGTTCCCACAAAATGGTGTTAATATCTGAAAACAAACTTTTCTATATTTTTCCAGAGCTGATTATTTTAAAATCTGAAGTATTGATCACATTAATAACAGATGGTTATATTTCATGCATAAGCCAATCAAAATGAAAATTTTATTGTTAAGATCTTTCTCTGAGAAGCTCTAGATAACTTTAAGGAAGAAACTTGTGAAGTCAGTGACCAGCACTGATTTTTATTACATTGATTATTTATTTATTTACTTTTGTGTCAGGGATCAAACTCAGGCAGGGCTCTTGCCAGGCAGGGGCAGCATCACTGAGCTACCGCCCCAGTGCTATACACTGAGCATTTCAATGCATGGTTTGCTTTGATCCAAAATGGGAAGTATCTACAGGTCATAAAATGTCTGTAGTCAGTAGGGCTTTGTTTGGAGTTAGCCAAAAGAAAGTGAGTTACTGAGCCTGTGTTGGCTCTGAAATCACACAGCACAAGTCTCATTCATGGCTGCTGTGAAGCCCTGCCTGGGTTCTCTTTGACATTGCCGTGCTGTGGGTGTGATGGGGCAATCTCAGGATGATCAACAGGAACCCCTATGTCTGCAGATTCAAAGAGGAAGAATTTATGCAGTTGTCTGCTCTGTCCTGGTTCCTCACATAATGTCCAGGTATTGTCTTCAATTCATCATCTATACTGCTAGTGCAAAATCTATCGTAAGGTCACATTTCAACATGATTTTTTTACTTGTCCCTTAGAGCATTATTCTCATTGTTGACTCTATAAGCTGAGAAGGTGTACTGCTTTCTGGATCTGAAAGTCGTCATGCAACCCAGTGTCCTAATAACTGAGAATTCAGGTAATTGTGTTCTGTTCCTTTTCAGCACTGGGGGCTCAGCTACTCAGTCAACTAACCACAGAGAGGCTTCCTCACTCTTTATAGATGCAGTTTTGAATTAGAGCAGAAAGAAAGTAAGGGTATTCAACAGTTATCCTGAGACTCTCATGAAATCTAGAGCATCTGGCCAGTGTAGAAAAAAAGTCTATAAACTATAAAGTAGAAGAAGGGAGTTCGTGTGGCCATGTGGAGCCTGATGCCTGGCATATGGCTTGCACAGCAGTGGTGACTATGTACACTATTGGACATGTGGGCTATCGATGGGCCTGGTGTTTCCATCTAGACCATCATCCTCTAACACTGGTCAGCCTCTCATGACCGATTGTAGGCAGAGAATTGCCCACAAAAGCCCACCCTAAATTTTCCTTGGCATTGTGTTCTAGGCCACCATTGTTTGAAGACCATTATTATTATGGGTATATATATTAAATTAAGGGGTTGGGGATTTGGCGCAGTGGTTTTGCCGCCTGCCTTACAAGATCAAGGGTCTGAATGTGATCCCTGGTACCAAAAAAAAAAAAAAAAAAAAAAAAAAAAAAAAAAAAATTAAATGAGAATATAATGCCAATAAATAAAGTGGGAGAATGTAAACCAAGAAAAATCGATAATCTAATATTCCTTGATGCCATTGTTTTCCTGTTCTCTAATGATTCTTTGCACTTCATGTGGACTCTTATTCCCATGACAATACATTTTAAAAATCAGTATGAATGCTTTTTTAATTTGGAGGACCATTTAGGCTCCTTCACTCAAACATGTACAGCCAATGATAACATTTAAACTTATGGAAAACTAGAAGCAGGGAACTGTTGTAACTTCTGGTACCTGGCCTAATACCCCTGACTTTCCCTTCTTTGTAGAATAGTACTCCGGCTCCTTTGTAAATCCTTTTGATATAGATTCGATCTGCTCTCCATTTCTCAAGTAATTTCCTGAAAATTTCCTCTCATAAGAAACTTTGCTCAAAGAATCACTCTCAGAACCATGAACAGATTCTAAGCAAAAAAATTATGATAAGAATAACATGGGCATTTTATTCTTTTATTGAGTTTATTGGTATATTTTAGGTATACAGTAAGATTACATTCATTATTGGGATCTTGTACCTTTACATGACAGGTCTTGGTTCTCATTTTTTCCCCTTGTCCCTGCCCTCCCCTTTACCCCTGCCTCCCCTCCCCATTCACAAACACTTTATTTCCATTTTTTCATTTTGTCATATTTTTTTTCTTTTCCCTTATTCCCTTTCCCATACTCTTCCAACTTTCCCTACACCTTTAGCCCTTTTCTTCCTATTTCACATGGTCAATTATTTCATTAGGACCTTATGTACTATTGTAGATTTTCACACCAGAGAAACTATTCAGTATTTACACATGTGTGATTTATTCATTTCACTTAGGAGTATATCCTCAATATGTATCCATTGGGCATTTTAGAAGAGCAATGTTAAGTTCACAGCCACAGGTTAGCTTTTAAACATCTGAACATATAATTTGAGGTAAGGATGACAAGATATTCATAGAAAGTAAGAGCTACATGTTGGGGTATCCATTGGGATTGAAGGTCTTTTGACGGATTTTGTTTCTTGTATTGCAGAGAGAACATTATATGACAATGAAAAACTACAGTGCTATCAGAGAATTTATTCTTCTTGGACTGTCTACTGATCCCTACATCGAGGCCGTACTCTTTGTGTTGTTCCTTCTGATTTACTTCCTTACTCTTACTGGGAATTTCTTAATGCTGCTGGTGATCACAGCTGATTCTCAACTGCACACACCCATGTATTTCTTCTTAAAACAACTGTCCTTCCTAGACCTCTGCCACTCATCTGTTACAGCACCCAAGATGCTGGAGAATCTACTTTCTGAAAGAAAAACCATCTTTGTAGAGAGCTGTTTGGCTCAGGCCTTTTTTGTGTTTGTCACTGGTGGCACTGAGGCCTGTCTGCTGGCTGTGATGGCTTATGACCGCTACGTTGCCATCAGCTTCCCTCTGCTCTATGGCCAGGTGATGAATACCCAGCTCTGTGTAGGGCTGGTGTGTGTCTCCTGGGGTCTGGCCTTTGTTGACGCTCTCATCAACATCCTCCCAGCTGTGAATTTAGACTTTTGTGAGGACAAAACTATTCCCCACTTCAGCTGTGAGCTGTCTTCTCTCTTTCCTTTGTCTTGCTCTGCTACCTCTACCAACTTCACCCTCCTGCTCTGTTCATCTGTCTTACATTTTTTTGGAACCCTTGTTATGATTGTTTCTTCTTACACCCGTATTGTCTCTACTATCATGAAGGTTAGCTCCACCATGGGCAGAAGCAAGGCTTTCTCCACCTGTTCCTCTCACCTCACTACAGTGATCTTGTTTTATTGCTCAGGCTTCATCAGCTATCTCTTACCAACTTCAGGTTCCCCTCTGGAAATGATCTTCTCTTTGCAATACAGCATGATCACTCCCATGCTGAATCCCCTCATCTACAGCCTGAAGAACAAGGAGGTGAAGGCAGCGGTGAGAAGAATGCTCAGAAAATATTTCTATCCTCTCATGTAGCAGACACCAAATCATGATGAAATGGACTCAGAACTGCTATGCTGCATGATCAGAATGGGACCTCAAGGAAAGTTTCTTGATTGTCTCTGATGAGGGATGCCACCAGGAGCATGATGGCTTTTACTTTTTAGGAAATAATTGTGAAGAGTACAGAACACTCTTAGTATGACTGATGTTCATTGTTATTCAGAGAAGAAGTAAACCAACTAAGCCTCCTTTCCAGGAAATAATTTTACTAAAATGCTGAGATGCTCATGTTTGAACATCTATGACTATTGGTTGCTCATTAGATCTTCACACTTCTGATAATTAAGTCCCAAAATCTTACGAAAAGTGAGTTTAACAGATTCATATGGCAGTCAAGGGGAATGATCTAAAAACCCAGGGTAGGTTGACCATTCTATTCCTTTCTCTTGGCATTGCAATGGGGCAATGAGGGAAACCAAGATCTGAGTCACATTATTCAGACTCTTTCTCTAGGAAATTGAAATATCGCCAGAAACCAACAAAGAGAAAGTAATCATTTGGAATAGACTCAATCTGGTTGTATTCCTACAACCCTGTTGTCTGAACAATGAACTTTTCTGAGGTGGTTACTATATCGTTCATTTACTTTTCATAGGAACACCAAGGTGATGTGTGCCTGTGGTACAGCACAGAGGGTCAGTACATGGGCATGAGCCCTCCTAGACGAAATCTGACAAGTGGTGGGAGCACTGTTTATGTAGCACCTGTAGGCACGTGCCTCTGAAGACAAGGCTGAGACCAGGGACTCCTCTAGAAGTCTTGTTGTGGAAGTTGGGTATATTAATAGGGGGTCCAGATAACTCCCGCCATGATCTTACTCTTTGCAATGTTCAATAAAAACGGTAACAATTGAACATTGCTTACACCTCTTAACTTGTGCCAAGAAGTGTACTAAGTGCCCATGGTAAGAAGACATCCTTCTTTTAGCCCCTAGGACCCATGGAAATGCTCTACAGGAAGTTCCAAATTGGAGCTGATGGTGGAGGTAATTCACGTGTCTGGAAGAGATTTTCACAGTTGTGCTCCTGTGTGCTTACTGTCCGGTGCCACGGTATCCTATAGTACAGCATAGTTTGGGATTTACTGTAGTTTTGAAGTGTGTGTGTTTTTATGCTTTACATTGTACATTTGTGTCAGAGGTGTATCAGAGTCATTCTGTTGGATTAGCAGTGAAATTGATTTAGGTTCTCCCAGAACAGAACTCATTTTGTAAGGTGGAACTTACTATATTATGCTGCAAAAGAAATTGGGCAGATGTTACATGAGGCACTAGAAAAAGAAAACAAGCCTGAATTTTCCACATAGGCCCAATATAATCATATGAATCCTTACAGGCAGTGAACCTTCTCCAGCTATAGGCAGGAAAGAGAAGGCAAAAGGAAAGATCAGAGAAAATACAAGCATGAGAAGCCCAACCCATCCCTGCAACTGTTGGCTTTTATGACAGAAGCAGCAGTAAGTTGGACATCATGGACCAACTCTAGAAGCTTAGAATAACAGCACCCAACAGGCAGCAAGGAAACAAGAACCTTCTCTTATGGAATTGTGTGAGTTCTGCCTACTAACCAAATCAACCTGGAAGTGGTTCTCTCCCCAGATCTTCCAGATGATTCCAGCTCACACTTTGCCATTGGCCTTGTTCAACACAGAGCAGTGGAAATAGCTGCACTGGGGCAGACTGCAGATCAAAAGAAGCACAAGATGACATTGCTGTCATTTTAAGACACTACAGTTGCAGTAATTTGTTAAGACAATACAAAACTTACATAGTACCTTACCTTTCATTCCCTTGGTCAATCATCATGACAAGTATATGAGATAAGTTCTGTTATGATTTTTTCTTTACTGGTGAGGAAATGAGACACAACTTATTTGGATGCCTGTTCAGAGAGCCATTGTAAGAAGACATTGTAAGAAGAGTTGGAAGTTGTCAGGTAGTCAGAGCTGAGATATGCTCTCCATTTCAGAACTGCCCCCTCCATCAAGTTTATGAGGCTCCCACAGCCTTTCCACAATGGTCTACTATTAGATTCGGCTACTTACAACCAAAGAATTGTTACTGATACCGAAACTGGTGTCAAAGGCTATTTGCTGCCAAGGGAACTTCAAAGCTGAAAGTATTTTGATTAGAAATCACTGGGCCGCTCTTCCTCTTCAATTTTGCATTTGACTGAAGGAACATCTCCCAGGGAAGCGTTATTATTCAGAGATGTACAACATGAAATGCGCATCCATTTCTACTGCTCATAGTATGTAATTGCCACTGTTCTGTTATGATGTATAATTGCCTGTGAACACTGGGATAATCCTGTGAACAATGGAAAACTACAAAATTAAGTAAGACCAAGAGAAAGAGGAAGGCCAAGACCACAGGGTCTTCTGTTTTCAAGACAATTATTGCACTTCTTAGGTTTCTACTCTTAAGGTGCAGAATGAATTTCAGGGTTCTACCAATCTGCTGGAGGAAAAAAAATCTGCCATTCTAACCACGTGGAGCAAAGACTACACAAAACTAACTCAGAGATGGGCTCAGTAACCTGCTGTGCTACATCACTAGCTGAACTCAGTGTCACACCAGTTTACCTGTGGAAGGATTAGACACAAAACTAATGATGGAATTATACCACTTCAATATCAGTACAATGACCTTGAGGGAAATTTGGAGGATCTGGAGAACCGGGAACCTCCTAGCCTTTCTAAAACTACTGCCTCTGTTGTCTCACTATGTTGTGTCTCCCTAATGGGAGATAGCTATTAACTCCTCTCACACTGTATATTCCTCAAGGTTACTCAATTAAGGTCTAGGATTTAAAAGGATAACACATAGGGTGAAATAAAAATCAGGGAATTGTACCTAATAGAAATACTAGAAACAGATTAACTGATATATGCAACATTCTAGCAAATATTTCTGGGAATAGATTGGTTTTCTTAACTAAGAGAGTAAATTTAATTGTAGTGTTTTGTTTCTTTTTTATTTAATTTTCCGTTACATTTATTGGTACTTTTTAGGTTTACAGCATATGTACATTCATCATTGGGATCTCGTCCCTTTATATGCTGTATCTTGGTTCTTGTTTTTTCCCCATATCCCTGCCCTCCCTTCATCCCCTCCACCTTTCCCTATCTATGAAGACTTTGTTTAAACTTTTTCCTTTGCTCATATTTTTTCTTTTCCCTTTTGTAATCATTTGTTAGATATCATTTTATCTAAGTACTTGAATGAATTATATTATCCAAATACTTCCTGATGCTTGTCTTTATTTTGGCTTTCACTCTTTGCTTATCTTCTCCTTATATGTAATCCATATTGACCATGGAGTAGATATCCTTTTCAGTCTTTTTCTGGGTTTATAAATGCATGTCTAAATACTGTACACATATGTACCAATAGATACATACTGGTAAAGGAACTCCTCAACTCTTAAAAATGTCTAGATAATATAGGACACATTTTATTAATTTATTTATGTTTTATTAGCATATATTTGCCATACTTAATGATCACATTCACCCTAGGGGATTTGTGCCTACACAAATAATTAAGACAAATAATATGTCTTAATTGTTCTTTTTTTCCTGATCCCTCTCCCCTCCCTTCAACACTTCTCCTCCTCCCCATTTATAAAAGTTCTGATTCAATTTTCCCCTTCCATTCTCTTTTTAATATCTCTTAAAAGTATGATTTTGAGGTGTATCCATTTCCCTAAAAATGACCCTGTTGGGGTCTCCTACCAGACAAGGGGACTCAGGGAGATGGCCGCAGACACAATGAATGACCAAAAGCTGATGGGTAATGGCAAAGTTTATTTCTTACTTAGGGTCTTTGTAGCAGTTTCATGGTGACACACAAGAGCAAGGTTACAGTGGGTTGATGATTAACAATAGTCATAAGGAGGCATGAGTATGATAAAGGGCAATCACAAGGAGCTAAGAACAGATACACCCTCTTTAAACTAAAGACAGAATATCTAGATAAAACAACACCTGTTTATGAATGAAAGGGAGTGAAAACCACCAGTAAATGGGAAGGTAAACTGGGAATAAGAACAAAGAAATAATTAGGGAATGGTTTGTGGTGGAGGGACTTCACTCCAGCAGACTTCCGGGACCAGCATTCCGGGACTCGGGGGCAGCACTTCAGCCATCTGTCCTCTTATGCCCCAACATGACTCAAGCTTATTCTTTTTTATGAAGAGTAGTACTTCATTGTATATAAATACATTTCCTTTATTCATTCACCTGTTGATGGGCCTGTGGGCTGTTTCCAAGATTTAGCTATTATGAATTGTGCTGCTATAAACATCAGTATGTATGAATCACCGCAGTGATCCTTTGAACTTGTTGAGGAAGATACCTGGTAGGGGCACAGATCGGTCAAATGGAGCCTCTAGTTTGTTTTTTGAGGGATCTGCATAGTGATTTCCATATTTGTTGTGCCAATTTACACTCTGACTAACAATATAGAAGGGTCCTTTTATTCCCATGGCCTTGCCAGCATCTGCTATTATTTGATTTCTTTTTTTTTTTTTTTTTTTTTTTT